GTGTGTGTGTGTGTGTGTGTGTGTGTGTGTGTGTGTGTGTGTGTGACTATAATGAGGTGGCTGACAGGGAACCGGGGCGCTGCTGTCGTTCCAGGAGACCGTGCTTCAGCGTAGGTAGAATGTAGGTTCTGGCGTGGGTGCCCCCACTGCGCAGGAGAGGCGGGGAGACGCAGCTCTGGCTAGTGGAGGGGGGTGAGGCACTTTGCAAACCGCCTGGCCCTCGCAAGTGGCAGCTGCTCGTGGTGGTAGTGGTGTTATTATTAAGATGGTAGGGCAGCTACAATGCTTGGAGAACACTTAGTTTTCTCCTGAGCAGTGACACTGGATGGTGCCAGGCCAGTGGGCTGGCGACGGTCCCACAGCTCTGGGTCCCCAGCTGGGGAGGCCTCCGGCAGCACTGACTCCCCTTCTCTGCCAGCAGCTGCAACCACGGGAAATGTGTGGTGACGGGGACCTCGTACATGTGCAAGTGTGCGGAGGGCTACGGAGGGACCTTGTGTGACCACAAGAACGACTCCGCCAACGCCTGCTCTGCCTTCAAGTGTCACTACGGGCAGTGCCACATCTCAGATCGAGGGGAGCCCTACTGCCTGTGTCAGCCCGGCTTTAGTGGGGAGCACTGCGAACAAGGTGGGTGCACTGCGGGCCCTCGGGACCCTTCACACCTAATCCGCACACCAGCCCACACAGTCGAGCCCTCTACCCAGCACCGCTGCCTCACCTGTGAGCTCACTGGAGATGCAGACGCTTGGGCCCCAGGCCTTTAAGTCAGAACGTGGAAGGGAACGCAAGTCTTCCTCCTGCCACCAGGTTCCCAGGCAGGACGCCCTTCACTAAAGGATGCTATACATTTCATGCCTAGTTGAAATACTAGCCTTAACCAGACTGTCATTTTTTAAAACTTTTATTAAGTATTTTGAAATAATTTCACGTTTTCCAGAACATACAATGCCCTGTTACCTGCCCATATACATAGTCTCGTTCTGAACCTTTTAAAAAGTTCTTAATTTACAACACTTGTGTCAAGCTTGAAAATGCATGAAGCCCTTTCTCACCCACCCTCCCCACTGAGGCTCAGGGGTGACCAGCGAGTGGTCAGTGGCGGAGGGGCCCGGCTCTGAGCCCATTCCTCTCCCCCTCCCCGGGACCTCCCCCAATGCAGTGAGGACGGTGGAAGGGTCAAGAGCTGAGTCCGAGTCCAGCCAAAATGTCCCCTTCCCCGCCCCCAGGTACTTCTAGGACAGCTCATCCTCTCTGGCTGGCTGAGTCCCGGTCCTCATGTGGACCTCAACCCCACTTCCCAGAAACAGACCTTGGCCCCGTCAGGCACCTTTGCTACGTGCTCTCGTATGAACACGGCCGTTCGTTGCATCCATCTGCTTAGCATCGCAAACATAGTCATTTAAATCATCATGTCACCAGTGTCTAAACTCTCCACCTCAGACACAGGCTTCTGACAGAGCGGTCCGGGGGCTCCTGCCATCGGCACCCTGGCAATCAGGCTCAGCTTTGCCAGCCCTCTGGGTTTTCAAAGAAGCCAGAAATCCCAATGATTAGGTGAAAGAAATGTCATAGGGTGGTTTTGTTTTTTAACAATTGGGTCTTTAAGCCTGTGAGGCACAAAGTTTGGGGACAAGATTTAGCCCATAGGCTGCTTATTGGCCACATCAAGTCGTCTTTCAGTTCCTTGAAGGAAGTGGCCGAGCCTGGTGGGTGGCTGTGTGGACAGAGAAGCTAGATACGGGGTGAGTAGCTGGGTGCGTGAGGAGGTGTGAGGATGTGGGGAGACGGATGGCTAAGGCCATGAAGTCCGTGTGGTCTGGAGAACAGCCTTCCCAGGCTCGGCCGTGGGCCCTGACCTTACCCACTGCCCTCCACAGAGAATCCATGCCTGGGAGAGGTAGTCCGAGAGGCCATCCGCCGCCAGAAAGGTTATGCATCATGTGCCACCGCCTCCAAGGTGCCTGTCATGGAATGCCGCGGGGGCTGCGGGCCCCAGTGCTGCCAGCCGACCCGCAGCAAGCGGCGGAAATACGTCTTCCAGTGCACAGACGGCTCCTCGTTCGTGGAAGAGGTGGAGCGGCACTTAGAGTGCAGCTGCGGCCCGTGCACCTGAGCTGCCGGCCGGCCGGGCCTCGCGGACTCCAGCGCTGGCTTGGGACAGCCACGTGGGACCCCCACCTCGAGATTCGGAGTCAAGCGGTAGAAGCTGGAGAGGAAAAGAAGAGAATATTAAGTATATTGTAAAATAAACAAAAAATAGAACTTATTTTTATTATGGAAAGTGACTATTTTCATCTTTTATTATATAAATATATCACACCGTCTGACTATATGTACCATATAGTGAGTTATTTTTACCGAGTTTTTTGTCTGGTGTTGTGTATTTGTCGTGTTTTATATAAACAGCTTTTAAAAATTCTAAGAAAAAAGTAATAAAAATGTTTTAACACAAAAGGAGAAGAATAAAGAAGTGGTAGCCTGTCTTGAGGAGGAAGAGTGTGTACGTTTATGAAACGCTATCATGTCAGCAGAGACCTACACCTGCTCGTCAGCTCAGGAAAAGGAATAGAAGGGAGAGAGGGAAGGACAATCTTTTCTTTGTTTCTTCTTATTTTTAGTAACCTGTTTTTCTTCCCTAAAAGCTTTCCAGTCCTGCTTGTCGGCGTCTAGGATGCCCGGTTCTTCCCGGGAAGGCTGCTGGGCTCTGGCCTGCGCTGTGACCTCAAAGAAACCGCTGCCTCTGCCCGCCCCAGACCCCCTGCAGGCGCAGACCCTGCAGACCCTGCTCTCCCTCCCGACGGGCCCTGGGCTCCATTACAAAACTATCTGCGCTCACACACGAGCTTCATCTGAGCCTGTGCTGCCAAACCTTAGACTGGCTGCTCTTTTCCTGCCCCCACCGCCCAGCCCGCCCCAGCCACCAGCCCTCCCTCTGACGGCTCGGAGCCGCTCTCCTCCCTGCGGCCACTGTCACACTGGACTGTGACGCCAGGGCTGCTGGGACGAGGCACGGACCCAAGCCTGCCCACAGCCCTGGTAGAAGTCCGGCTCTGGAACGTTCTTGCTATGGGACAGACAGCCAGGCCTTTACCTGCTCCCCCAGGCCACTGTCATAAGGACAAGGACCGCTTGCCCGCCTGACCATTTTCCAGTGCATGTTGGCACCGCCCCTTATTTTATTCATGTAACTCCTGCCCCCAGGAAGAGTAAAGCAACATGACCCCATTTCACAGATAAGGACACCGAGGCCTCTCTGTAACTTGCCTTAAGCTACGCATCTGCTACATGGAAGAGCCAGGCCCAGTGCCCAGACTCAAAGCTCTAGATTCCGCCTCCAGACTGGCATAAACACGGGAGATTTGGGCAGTTTAAGGTCATCGAGGGAGCCCACCAGAAATGAAAGTGGATGTTTTTCCTGCTATTTTTCCTGCTTTCGTCCGGTCTTGTTCTGCTTCCCTAGCAGCCAGAAAGATTCTAGACAAAGGGTTGTAGGTACCGGGGTGTGAGCAAAGGCAGCCCTAACTCCACTCCAACAGCTGCCAGCCCTCCTGAAGGGGACCTGCCGCTCCCCCGTCAGGCTCCGCAGCTCACACCAGCTCCCGGTCCCCGGTCACCCACCTCTCCTTCCCCCAGGGGCCTCCCCTGCAGAAGTGGCAGGAAGGAGACCTTCCAGCTCGGAGGGTCCACAGCGGCACCTAGTGGATCTGTGACGACCAAGGGGGACAAAGGCTCCAAGAATCCAGAAGGAAGGAAGACAGAGGAGCACAAGGCAAGTGGCAGATAGGGAGGAAAAGGAGGGAGGAAGGAAGAATCGAAGGAAGAGAAGGAGGGAGGGAAGGACAGGACGGAGCAATTTACTTAAAAATACGTTTGTATACATGACGTTCCACGTTCGGACTGGTTTCAAATGCTAACCGCCAGATTTACTTAATATTTACTACATTATACATCAGACACCATTCTACTTTTTTTTCACTTAATTTTCAAAACAACTCTGTAGTAAACACATGACTAACCCATTTTACGGTTGGCTACATGGGGGCACGGGGAAGTTACGGAACTTTCACAAGAGCAGCTAATTGTTGAGCCAGGATTTGGGCCCAGGCTGACTCCAGAACGCATTCCTCATGGGAAGGAGGCACGTCCTAGCCTTTAAGGATCCTACCGTCCAGGGCAGAAAGAGTCGTGGGAAAGCACAGTTGCGTTAGTATATGAGTTTCCTAATGGGAGGGTAAACCAGGGCAGTGGCTGACCAGAGCACAGATTTCCCAATCCTGGGTCTTCAAGGATGACTAGGAGTTTGCCAGGAGACAAGAAAGGAAGTTGAATTTTGCAGAGGATGGCCTATGAAAAAGCAGCAAAATACGAAAAGGCCTGATGAGATGTTTGTGGAGCAGGCAGAGGTCTGAGGCAGCAGGAGTGTGGCATGCGCACTGCAGAGCAGAGGGAAGTGGGGAGGACAGGAAAACGGGTTTGACCACAAAGAGCCACGTGCCGCAGGCCAGCTCACGAGCCCAGTAGGGTTTGGAGCAGGAGGGATAGCAAGACAAGCTCTGTTTTAGAAAAAGAACTGGTGGCAAAGCAGAGAAAAGCCTGGAAGAGGAGACAGGGCTCTGCCACCCAAAATGGCTTTGGGGCTCCCCGGCTGTATTGACAATGCTGATTTCCAGCTGGGTCACAACAGTCTGGGGTAGCTCAGAAGGGCTGCCCTGCAGGGGGTGTCCTGGGATCTGCCCAACAACCCTCCCGCCCCCATGCTCCACCGCCCACTCCGACTGACCAGGCAGGTGGAGCTGAGCCTAATTCCACCACCAGCTCTCCTCAATAGCCTCCGCCCACCCGGCCCACAGCCCAGTCAGCCCACCATCTCGACAGCCCCGCCCAGGCTGTCTGGAAGGACTCGCCAGGCTGTGGCTTGCCCTCTGCCTCCTCAAGGAATCCACGGCCTCTCTCTGCCAGTCACCTCCTGGGCCCGACCCCGAGCCCAGCCACAGTCCACCAAGGCAGCCAAAACGACCAGGTTCCTCCCCTCAGTGTGGTTTGGGGGTGCCTATGAGTCTTCTCTCAGTTTTGGAAGCCCTGACTTTACAAAGTGCCAAATGCAAAACCGTTAAAGAAATCCTCCCTACTAGGAAGTTTCTGCAACAAATGGAGATTAAAATTCCCTTACTTGAGCAGCAAAATTCTAGAAGCAAAGTCCCACGGGGAGGGAAGAGTTCAGTTAGGTAATTTTCATGTTGGATGGGTCGGTGTTTGTGTGGGGGCATTGCACGTGTACAGAAAGGGAGCCGGGGCTGTTTTCCCCTGAGCAGGATTCAGGGCAGCAGGGAGGGAGGGTCCTTTTTTTCAGCTCAACCAAGGGACCCTAAAATGACGGATGAGATGATGTATTTAAAAGCTCTTGTAAAGTGTAAACTAAAAACCTTACATGTAAGATGCTGTTGTTATCATTACTGTTGTTGTTGCTGTTATTGACATGCCCGACATTCCTTTGTGGAAGATGGCTTTGCCTTTCCAATCTCATAGGAAGACACCCAAGTCTCATCCTTCAGAAAGACGGCAGACAGGAAGACAAGGACAGGGGCAAGGAATGGGAGGTCTCCCAGGGCCAGAGAAGGGAGAAACTCCCCCAGGATGACCCTCAGGAAGCCGGGAGTGCCTAAAACAGGGGCTGAGCTAACCGTGCCCTTCACCACATACAAATCTATCACCAGCTGATTCCTAAGTCCAAGCTGTCACCCACTGCCTCTGCTGGGAGCAGAAGCCCCTCGCGTAAATGAACCCACCCCTCAAAGACTCACAGTGTCCCAGGTTTCAGAGCTGGAGGAACTGAGGGGGTCCCTGGTGGGTGGGCAAACTGAGAATCAGAGAAACAGTGTCTAGACCAGAGACCAAGGTCACCCAGCAAATTAACACCAGCAGCGGGAATAGTCTACCCAGCCCAGAGTTCCTCCAGCTACTCGGCAGTGGGCACCCAGGTGGCGTGAGGCCTGAGACAGACCCTCCAACACCTGCTGGGTGGCCAGGAAAGTATCCCCACTTCCTCCACAGCCTTCTCCCCGAGCACTCAGATGGCTGGGAAGCTGCGGCATTGTCTGGCTTGGCAGCACTTACCCACCTTTTCCACTCTGGGTAAAGCGGTGCCACAGGACACACTTGGGGAAAGTAGAGAGATGCCAGCTAGCTGGGACCGGCAAAGACAGAATTGAGCATTTGGCAAAGCCTATTTCTCTAACTCAACAATAGGTTCTAAGAGAAAAAAATATGAAGATGTTTTTTAAAACAATGTTATAATGCCAATTCCCCAGTATGGGATAAATAATGTGCATTTTTTTTTCAACAGACTGTAATATTCTGATGTCATTAAAATAAATGGATGAGTTACATACAGGAGAGCTCTCAGATGCTCTTGTGAATCCCATAAGCTCAGCCCTACTCTGTGGTGTGTTTTATTTATATTTCTGACCTTCACACTCTCTGGGGAAACGATTACTGCATTTACGGAGTTTGGGCAAGTCTGGTGTGGAGTTAGTGGGGGAGGAAAGTGGGTTTTTTGGACCATAAAGTGGGAAAACTGGCTTCCAGAGCTCCCCAGAGACATGGGAGAGAAGCCCCAACACGTGGCTTAGCGTCTGCAGGGCATGTGGTTTGCATGGGCACACACTGGGTGCCAAGGGTCACAGAGGAGGAAGTCACTCCAGTTCAGAGGAGGTGAATGCTTTGTAACATGCCAAGGAATTTTCCTCCTGGGCACATCAGCGCCTAATTAAATCCCCTCCTTTATTCACTCCTTCCCCGAGCATTTCTTGAACATCTACTATGTGTCAGGCACTGATCTAGGCATTGAGACCCCAAGGATGATCGAGACCAAGTCCCTGTTCCCCTAGAGCCTATCCTCTACCTAAGTGTCAATCAACAAATAAACAAAGCCCCACACCAGGCACCTCCAACTTTTAAGACCTGCACCTAAGAGATGAGCCCCCAAAACATCTAGCTTTGAAAACCAGCAGGGCTCATGTCCACGAGCCCCTCAAAGACATAGAGAATTGAGCAATAGTTCTCAAAAGGATCACACAGCTGGACTCACCAACCCCAGGGCACAGCACAGACGCAGCCAGCTGGAAAGCAACCAGTCTTTCTGTGTAAGAGCCCTATTTGCTTATCTTAAAGCACCAGCCAGAGGAGCAGGCATCTAATTTAACACATCTAGGAGCCTATTGAAATACCCTCCACAGACGAAGGTCGGCAGGTACCATCTTTGCACTCTCCCTCTGATGTGCTTCAGCTCGCCAGCATCTCCTGGAAGGGAGTGTGTGCACACATCTGGTATCCTGGGTTTTGTGGCTGCCACCTAGAGGACACCCCTGGATCACCTGGGTCCGGTGGCCAGCAGGGCTTGTGTTCATGGGTTCAAGGGCACAGAGGCAAACTAGGAAACACTTCTTAACTGGCTGCCACCCCATGGCTCAGTGCAAAGGCAGAAGACAGAAACACACGCCTTCTAGTCTTCCCCCGAAAGAGATGTATTCGCTTACTTTAAAAGCTGCTGCCAATCAGCTGGAATCTAAGTGATGACTGAGATCCACCCCTGTGAGACACTGACAGGTCTTAGGCACAGCCTCAACTACTGGGAGCCACTAAGAATAAATAATTCGCCCTTGCAGGGTTGTTGTGCAGATTAGGTGAAATAGTGTTTGTAAAGCACTTCTCATAAACTAGGCATAATGCTATAATTAGTCTTTGAGCCGAAAAACTATCACATAGACGATCCGCAGCTTACACATTATGAATCAAATGAGTCAATCAGAACTTCACAGTCATGAGCCTTAGAATTTGCATACAAGGAACCAAAGACAGACTGGACTATAGGTATGCTTCCATTGGCTTGCACAGTATTTTTTTAAATTGTGACAATATTTAAAATTGTTGAGAAACCACATTTTTTTTTTAAAGTGGTAGGTTGCTTGGACAAAGATTCGAAGGACAACCAAGAGATAGGATAAGGATGTATGATAAGGTTGACCTCATACAGGAGACCACTGTTTGAAGATGGGGAGAGGTGATTGCTTTATCTAATTCTAGAAACCAACACAGAGAGTCAAAAAAATAAGGAGAAACAAAGGAATATGTTATAAATGAAAGATCAAGCTAAAACTGCATTTAAAAAAAAAAGAAACCTTAATCAAATTGTGAATATGTGATTTACGTGATAGAATTCAACACAATGGCCATAAATGTGCTCACCAAGCTCAGGAGAACAATGTAAAAGCAAAGTGAGAATTTCAGCAAAGTGACAGAAAACATAAGAAAATACCAAATAGAAATCACAGAGCTAAAGAATATAATAATAACTGCAATGAAAAATACAAAAGAGGGGTTCAACAACAGACTAGATGGAGCGGAAGAAAGAATCAGTAAACTCAAAGACAAGGCAGTGATACCCACCCAATAAGATTACCAAAAAAACACAGAATGAAAAAGAGTGAATACAGACAGCTAAGAGAAATTCTGGGACATCAAGTGGACCAATGCACACATTATAGGGGACTCAGAGAAGAAAAGAAAAAGGGGCAGAAAAAGTATTTGAAGATATAATAGCTAAAAACTTTCCTAACCTTCCAAAGGAAACAGACATTCAAATCCAGGAAGCCCAGAGATTTGAAAAAGATGAACATAAAGAGACCCCACACCAAGACACATTGCAAAGTGTCAAAAGTTAAAGACAAGGGGATCATTTTAAAGCAGAAAGAGAAAAAAACATGTTACATACAAAGGTACCCCCATTAGACTATCAGGTTTTTCAGCAGAAACTTTGCAGGCCATAGGGAGTGGCACTAGATAGATAGATAGATAGATAGATAGATAGATAGATAGATAGATAGATAAATAAATAGATAGATAGATAGATATAGATATATAGATACACACACACACACACACACACACACACATATATGAAGTACTTAAAAAAAAATCCCAACCAAGAATGTTCTACAGGCAAAGTTGAAGGAGAAATCAAGACTTTCAGACATGCAAAAGCTAAAGGAGTTCATCACCACTAAACTGGCTTTACAAAAAATGTTACAGGGAATTAATTGTTGAAGTGAAAAGGAAAGGGCACTAATTAGTAACAGGAAACATGAAAATATAAATCTCACTAGTAAAGGTAAATATATAGTAAAATCGACAATAATCTAATGTTGTAAAGGTCGTGGGTGAATCACTTCAAAAGTTAGTATGAAGGTTAAAAAACAAAAATATAACTGCAATAATTTGTTAATGGGTACACAAGATAAAAAGATGTAAATCATGACATCAAAAACATAAAAACGTGCAGGAGGTACTAAAATTGTAGAGATTTAGAATGTATTTGAACTTAAGTTATCAACATAAAATAGACTGTTATAAATATAAGTTGTTTTACATAAGCCTCATGGTAACCGCAAAGCAAAAACCTATAGTAGACACAGAAACATAAGCATAATACTACAGAAAATCATGAAATCACAAAGAGAAGAAATAAAGAAATTTCAAAATAGGCATAACACAATTAGCAAAATAGCAAAAAGTACATTTATATTTATGTAATTGCTGTAAATGTAAAGGGGCTAAATTCACTGATCAAAAGACAAAGTAGCTACATGGATTGAAAAAAAAAAAGCAAGATTCACCTATATGGTGCCTATAAGAGACTCATTCAGATCTGAAGACACACACAGACTAAAAGTACAGGGGTGGAAAAAGATATTCCAAGCAAGTAAAGAAAGCTGGAGTAGCTACACTGATATCAGAAAAATCAGACCTTAAGACAGAAACTGTAACAAGAGGCAAAGAAGGTCATTATATAATGACAAAAAGGTAAATCCAAAAAGATAAAACATTTGTAAATATTTCTGCTCCCAACATAGCAGCATCTAAATATATAAAGTAAATAGTAACAGACCTAGACAGAGAGATAGACAGCAATACACTAACGTAGGGAACTTTAATATCCCACTTTCATCAATGGATAGATCACCAAGAGGTACAATAAGAAAATATGCAGTGTCTTTAAGCGACACATTACACCAAATGCACATAACGGATTGCATAGATGTGAACAAAACCAACTCCATCTCTGTATCCCGGGCTTCATTTCATTTTTAAGTTTTATGCTGTGACCTTTGACTAACTTCACTGTCCTTCACAAGCATATCAAAGCTTCCTAGTTGATGATTATTATCTGTGTTCCTCAAAACGTAGCCATAAATATTTTTGTTAGCAACAGCCAGAAGGACATGACAACTGAGATAAATATCAAACTGGTAAGAGAATGAATTATAAGTAATCACCCATCACAAGAGCATCAGGAGGTATGGTCCCTGGTGCCACTGCATTCTTTGTCCCTCGGTCTTGTCAATCATTAGGACCTGAGTTGTACTACTAAGACAGTACTGATTTGTAACAGGGGTCGGGGAGCGGAGAATAATTTGCACAGAAATGCTGGGCCACCTGTCCACTCCGGCCCAACCTGCCTGTAAGTAAACTACCCTATAATAAATGCTGTAATAGTCTATAGCGCTCTCTGCTTCATCTTTCGGACTGAACATACGTAACTCTTGGTGGAATTATAAACAGGTAGCCATCATAAAAAAACTATATGGAGGTTCCTGGAAATCTTAAAAATATGACCCAGCCAGTTACACTTCTTGGAATATATCCAAAGGAAATGAAATCAAGATCTCAAAGAGATGTCTGCACTCCCCTGTTCATTGCAGCATTAGTCACAATAGCCAAGCCATGGAAACCGCCTAAGTGCCCATCGATGGATGAGTGGATAAAGAAGATGTGGCATAAACGTATATATGAATATTTTTTAGCCATCAAAAAGACTGAAATCAACCAAGAAAAAAGAAAGTAAAAGAAAAAGAAAAAAGAAAAAAGAAGGAAATCTTGCCATTTTTTACAACATAGATGGACCTTGAGGGCATTACGCTAAGTGAAATAAATCAGACAGAGAAATACATACTATATTAATCTTATTTACATATGGAATCTTAAAAAAAAGAAAAAAAGAACTCATAGATACAGAGAACAGGTTGGTGGTTGCCAGAGGCGAGGATGGGAGATGGGCAAAATGGGTGAAGGTGGTCAAAAGATACACGCTTCCAGTTATAAAATCAATGTTCGTGAACATAATGCAGAACATAGTGACTATAGGACCATATTGTGTATTTGAAATTGAAATTAGTAATACACTATTATATATTTGAAAGTTGCTAAGAGTTCTCCTCACAGGAAAAGATGTGTAACTAGGTGTACTGATAGACGTTAACGAGGCTTATTGTGATTAACTAGACTCATTTTGCAATATATACAAATGTCAAATCATTATTTGTACATTTGAAACTTATATAATGTTATACGTCAATTATACCTCAAAAATATGA